GAGCACCAGTTGTCACAACCAGCCTGTTCAAAAACAAAACCCTCACATCATTCTACTAAATGTATGAAATTTCCAAAAATAAGATAATGAACGTCTAGCAAAATGACACTCCAATACATTCAGACCTTTAGCAACAGAGCTAAACATAGCAACACATCAAATTTAAACAAAATACTAGCCAACAACTATAAAACCTCTTTGGGGATACATACCAAAACTGGTTTTTGTCCTGTTTAAATGTGAATTTGGTCCATTTAATTTTTAATTTTCTCTCAAATGGATTTAACATTAGCGCCTCAACTGTATTAGCAGGCTTGGTTACATTAGCCATGTTTACTATACCTGGCGCCTGAAGATTTCTATTGGTGAATGTACGTAGCCAATCATTTTAAAGCAATGTGTACATTCCGCCTAGCAACAGCCATTCAATTGGTCAAGGGTGTTTTCTCCAGTATTTTTCTGCACTGCTGATTGGATAATGGTAGTGCACTTAATCTAAAGGAAACTTTGGAATCCACAGCACAAATAGAGACCATAGGTGTGTCCAAATTCAGGGCCTGCATCATTCAAAGGACACAGTCTACAAAGACGTGTCATTCGAAGGCTGTGTAGACTCGCAAAGGCTGAACGGAATGAGACGGTCTGCTCTACGGCGGATTTTCTGTTTGCGTCACAGCACCGCTGTTCCCACCCTTACCGTTTCATTATGAAACGCCGCTCCTGTCAAGTTCTTTTAAAGTTCTTTAAAGATGGAGCCAGAAACTTTGATTTAGTTTTTTTTTTATTTTTCATTTATTAGAGCTGGAGATCCACCCGCAGTCTTAGAAATCTCTCTGTCTGCTCCCTAAAACATAAAACAAAACATGAGCATAAGTTTTGCTTCAGACCATTTTTTTAACATTTGTATCATCAGCTATTTGACTCAGTTTAATCTCAATACTTACATTTTAAAGTGTACCCCTCAGGTGCCGTTCGCTTCGAGCCAATGTTAGCATTAATAGCTGTTTACTTACCAGTCTAGAAGAAATGTTGCGAGTTCAGCATCAAACTTCATCCATTTACTTGCCAAGAGCTCCAGTCTCCAGCGGTGGAAATCAAGCTCTTTTTTGTTTCTATTTCTGCCCCTTCTTTTCTTTGCAGCTGAACGTGGTTCTTTGCTGCTGAACGGTGGTGATAATGGTCACTTGCCAAAAGTTTCAGCCATTGTTGCATTTACTCCATCCTACAGTAATTTATTATCGCCTCTTGAGGTAGAAAGTCGCATTATGAGACAGGACGGACTGGGGCTAGCTGCTAACTTCAGCAGATATCTCTGCAACACAATACATAGACATATTTGACATAATGTCAGAAAGGGTATTTTGAAATGCTTTACACTAAAAATCTTACAAATGGCACTTTTAAAGCTTCAGTCCATATATAAAAAACAAACTGTGAGAGCAGCCTGTCTTGAATTGAATATCATGAAAACCAAAGCGTTTACATATATCCATTTATTTACTTTACATCAGTTTAGCTCCACCCATTCACACTGAAGCTATAAGGAGTGTTTCAGCTCAGACTGCTTTTTGAACCAGGCACAATACAGTGAGGCCAATCAGAACATAGCTTATTTACATAAATCAGTCTTAAAAGCACAGTAACAAAACAGCCTGTTTAATTCCAACAGATAAAGAGAGGAAAAACTAAAATATAAGAAAAATGTAGGACATGTCATTTCAATTGGGTTATTTTGCTTGTGGTAATTGGTGGGGTGGTGCCCCAGTGCCCATAATGGATAAATGCTCTCTTGACTTTTTAGAATGGAAGTCATTAATGACATTTTCTTAATATATTTTTCTGTCAATATCATGATTCACACAAACATTAAAAACAAAATACATACTTCCACAGCCGCCAGTGGTTTTGGGACCTCTTAAAGGCTGCTTTTATCACTTATACCAAGAAACGTAACTAAGAATCTAACTTCTAGGTCTTCTGGACCACCTCACCTGCTCAGCTGTAGGTCAGCCCTGATTTTATTAGACCTTACATGCTGAAAAATGTGTACAATGGTCCATTGTCAGCATGATTTGATTAAAAATGACCTCTAAGCCCAGCAAGGTCGTCATACTTGAGACCAGACCAGAGTGTTGTGTTTGAGAGAGAGCGAGAGAGAGAAACCTGCAGGGAAAGAAAGAACGTATTTCCAATTTCCACTGAACACAAATGAATTTAGACTCTCAAGTCTGGAAGCACTTGTCAATAATAATTTATGCTGTTTTATTTAAGAATAACTTTGCAGTAGAGTATTTTGGTCTACTAACAGTGTAGATTGAAATACCATAAGCTAGACATCATAACGTATTTAAAAATGTTTTATTCAACTCTTTGGTAACAGCAAAAGTTTTTATATGATAAAAATTGTTATCTATTGTTATCCAATTTATATTCTTCTTATTATTATTTCTCTGCCAGATTTTTGTCCAATAACTCATCCTGCAGTTTGACTGGGAATTGTATGCTTTTATACAGTTTTTTGATCTGACATACAGTCCATTAGAAACATCCAATTAAAACCATGTGAGATATCAGCAACCCCTTAGCAACTACCTGGGACACTATAGCATCCACTTGGCAACAATCTAGCAACTACCTGGAACACCGCAGCAACAACCTAGTAACCCCCAGACAGACTCCTAGGACATGATTGCAACAATCTAGCAAAATCCTAGCAACCACCAGGAATAACACAGCAACCACCCAGCAACACCTAGCAACCACATAGGATATCGTAGCAACCACCTAGCAACACCTTAGCAACCATTTGGAAAACCATAGCAACAACCTAGCAACACCCTAGCAACCATCTGGGATACCATAGCAAATGCCTAGCAACACCGTAGCAATTACTGGGAATACTATAGCAAGCACCTAGCAACACCCTAGCAACCAGCTAGGATACCATAGCAACCACATAGCAACACCTTTGCAACCATTTGGAATACCATAGCTACAACCAACAATGCCCTAGCAACCATCTGGGATACCATCAAGCAACACATTAGCAACTATAAGGAGCAACCACCTGGCAACAACCTAGCAACCAGTTGGGATACCATAGCAACCACCAAGCAACACCTTAGCAACCACTTGAGACAGTATAGCAACCACCTGGCAACGCCCTAGTAACCACCTGTAATACCATAGCAACCACCTAGAAACACCCTAGCAACCACTAGGGGTGCCATAGCAAAATCTTAGCAAGCGTAGGCTGCGCAGTCACTGAATTTTCTTCAGGAAATGCAATTTTCCAGTCTGTTTATAATCATTTCTTGATAATTTATGTGCCTTGAGATTAGATCACCACCAGATATTCTGGATATTAATTTTAGTATCATTTAATTCTCAATAATTTACCGCTCTTTGTACAGTGTAGCAGTGAGCCACAGTCATTGTTGCTAAACACTAATTTAGTTAATAGCCGTGTTAGACTAGCTTATGACATTTATTTGTCTCTGTATGTAAATATCTATCTATGTATCTATCTATATAGTCGCACCTAGTGTTAATGAAAATGTAATTACATGTTGGTTAACTTGAAAACGAAAAAGCAAAGTGGGAAATGAAAAGTAAATCTCCAGCAGGTGGCGCCGATGTTCATTTGCATTTGCCTTTTCATTCAAAAAAATTAAAGCGCCCACACCGAAAACTAAATGACAAACTGTCATTTCGCTGTTGATTTATGCGTTTTGCATTTTCATTTTCATTTTGTCAGATTGCTATGAAAAAGAAATGAGAACGTAAACACAGTATTTTGATTTTAGTTTTGACGCGTATTCTGCATTTCATGAAGAAAAGGCAAAGACAAAGTGAAGCCTGGATTTTCTTTTCTCTATTAGCTTTTCCATCTTAGATTTGACCATGAAATACCAGAACAATGACTAAAATGAAATGACAAATTGGTGTTTTTAATTCATTTTTATTTTTTGTCACAAATGACTCGCGCTTGCGAATGAAATTAAATTGCAAAAAGAGGTCACTTTATGCGGGGTCACTTTAGGAGCTGATCTGTTCAGACTGATGTCACATATAGGTCACATTTAAAAGATACTGTGAACAGCTAAACAAAAAATCGGATTTGGGCCACTTTTACCTGCTGTGTAAACATAGCCTTAGATATTCTTTATATTAGTCTTGTCTATTGACTCTCGCTCTCATTTTAACCACTAGACCACATCCCCTGTGACGTCACTGTGTCGTCACACTCAGCGATTTGTGACAGGGGGTTAGTTTCATCCCCGTAATGAATGTCCAAAAATGTCCAGCATCCTATCATGAGATTGGCTAATTTCTTGTGTCCTGTGATATGATTGATCAGTGTTTGCAATTACGCCTTGGGATTGGACCAGCCTCCAGGGCTCCATAGGCTAATACCATTCGGCATTCAACGTTAGGAGTGGCCAGTATCCTCCAGCCTCCGGTGCAACTGGCTAGTAGGTCATCCCCACAAGCAGAACTACTGCCCGGCTTCAGTGCAGGAGCAGTTCTGAGTCAGAGGCCTGATCTTTTTCTTTTTTTAATAACATAATAACGTAATTACAAACATAGACATTGTAATTACAGTGTTCATATAAAGGATTAAAACAGCAGATTTAGCACATAATCACAGTTTAAACATGGAAAGCACACGCTAACTGGTCTGACTACATGTAGTAGAGATAATCCAACAGTGGACTGATCTCACATCAGAGTCCTCTGTGGGTGTGACGTCAGAACAGCTGACTCCAGATCAGCTCTGCTGCTCCTGAGAGGGTCTGTGAACACAGAGCCCGGATGACAGATGACAGCCAAGCTGCGTCCAAAAGCACGTACTACTATACTACGCACACTACACCAGTGACCGGACGCGTATTGGTGGTGTCCTATTTTCTGCATACTATTTAGTACGGTAGTATGCGGCTTTGGCCAGTGGTAGCGCAGTGGGCGGGGCTTTCCCGAATACGGGTGTGAAATAAACACATCTCTTTCCGAAGTGACGTTAAACCCGCCCGTCCTTGCAGTAAATGTCCCATTACCGGCGAGCGGGACGGAGGGACGGCGACCGACACCAAGCAAAACCGAGACGAACGGTGACCGGTATTTTTCACTCATATTTTCTTTTATTTATCCGTCCGGTTCGTTTTTTTGTAGTCTCTTCCCGTCGCAAGTGTTTCGTCCGTGTCTCTTCTCGCTTATCGTAAACATATCAGCCCAGCCGCCGCGCTAACCCAGCACCAGTGAGCCGTAATTAGCAGCCGGCTAGCCGGTTTGTGTCACGGTGTGTGTAACGGAGCCGAAATCCGCCGTTCAGGACGGCTAATGTGGCCGTGCGTGTTCGTGTGTGGAAAAACAGCGGTCATTTCAGTCAGAGAGCCCAGAGGAACAGCTGAAGGAGCGGCGGAGTGATAGTGGAAATTTCTTCATGTGGAAGAATCCGATGGCTTTTTGAATTGGAGCCGAGTCAAGCTTAAAGGGGAGCTCCACCGATTTTTCAAAATTTCAAATGGTTAACGCCAACAGTCCTTCAGCGTGGTTTGGTGTGAAATGCTCCGTTCTAGCGAAACTGGCAGAGTCCGAATCGGTCACAGTGGTGGTGATAGGAACCAGACGTCCACCTCTGAAAGCTCCCTCACTGAAAGTTTTCAGCCTGATGTCTGAGACGTTGTTTTATGATAGTTTTGTGGTTGACGTTTGGCTTAAAATGTGTTTGAATCCATTTATTTTCGTCCATTCATGGTGAAGGGGTACATTCAGGGTGTTGTGAGGCAATTTTTTTTTCAGATTTAAAAAGAGAAAACGTGGGAATTCCGTTATTTTTTAAACCTGTATAATTCAATCACTGGTCATTCAGTGTGGTTTGATGTGAAATGGTGCATTGTAAAGAAACTTGACCCATTTTATTTACAATGGTGGTGAATGGAACCAGGGGTCACAATGCCTTCACCCCAAATATAGCCATTTTATTTACTATCCAAAATCACCAGTGAACCTACGCGTGTCTTCTGAGTTTATTATATAATATTTATGTAATGTTGATGATGGTCAAATAGTGACAGATCTGAAAAATAAGGGACTGTTTTGCATTTCAGATGTCAGGCACCATATTCATAACTGTTTCATGAAATATTTTTTTGTGAAGTAGATTTTGAAGACACTAAGTTTTTCAGATGTCTGGTTCCCATCATCAACACTGTGAACAATTCTGAACCAGAATATTTTTCTAGAATGGCATGTTTCACATCAAACCACTCCTAAATGAAACCTTCAGTGAGGTTTATAGGGGTGAGTTTGGAGTAGGAGACAGTGAAGCTTGCAGGACTTGAGGATCAGGGTCAGGAAATACTGATGCAGAAGGGATTTTTGGTTAATCAACAAAACTCTCACGAATCAACAAAACTGTCTCACAGTCATATCACTATATGCAAATCTTGTGGTTTTAGAGGCATGCATAGTTTTGTTTTTTTTTTCAAAATTCCATCCTTGCTTAACTGGAATAGTCAGCTGGCAGCTTCATTGTTTTCACAATGGAACCATCTTAGTGCTTTTGTGTTCAATATTTCATTGGATTGTGTTAATCGACTAGAATACAGGTAGGCATTTAGTAGAAAATCCCATTCAACCTAATAAGAAATGGCAGAATGCTACCATATGTACTTTTTACATTTTGGAATTATATGTATTTTGTATGTGACAGGATATAAGGGTGGGTCAGCTAAATGTAATCTTTTTTACAGGCTAAGCAGAACATTCACTGCAGCTGTTTTAATGTTGCTCACTATTCAACATTGTAGCCTACGCCAATAACTGCTGTAGCTTGGCTGAATTTATTCGTATGGATTTGCCAACATTTTCCTCATTGTACCTACCATGGGCTATGTATAGACATAAAGCAGAAAGTTGCATCAGCAAAACATTTGCATCTTTCACGCATAACATCAGCTCTCTGAGTGGCAAAGACATATAAAGAGAACTAAAGCACTATTTTACCATATTGTATAGGCTGTGCATAGTTCAACTATATGAAAAAAATAATCCTAGTCTATCCTAACCCTGACTTTTAATGTGCATACAAAATATATATCATTTGAAATGAATAATGCTCTCAGAATTTGGGTACTTTGGCAAATACCGAGCTGTCTGGTACAGTTTTTCATTAGGCTGAATGGGATTTTTACCAGCATTCTGGAAAGCTTGTACAACTTTGCAACAGTAGCTGTGGAAGTATACACTGCGGGACAGAGCATGGCTCGGTCAACTGGGGAGTCATCCCCAAGAAGGATCTTTTTGTCTTTTATTCGTAAAGCGAGTATACTTCAGATTTTACTGTGTTAAAGAATTTCAAGGTGCATGTCCATCCAGCATCATTCTTGCACTGCATTCCTTTTTGGCAGGTAGAGGAAAACCCACTAGAACCTTTGCCAGTCAGCTCCTCAAGCATGGCTTCCCCCTCTGTTCCTGCGACCAGTCGCTTCCTGATTTTCTTTGACTTTGACGAGACCATGATCGCAGAAAGCAGTGATGATGCCATGGTCCGTGTTGCCCCTGGCCAGACTGTCCCCGACTGGCTGAAGGACAGCTTCCGTCCTGGCCGGTACAACGAACACATGCAGCGTGTCCTGGCCTACTTGGCCCAACAGGGAGTGAGCGAGGAGGTCATCCGGGATGCCATCGAGGACATCCCACCCACTCCAGGCCTGCCGGTGCTCCTTGGCTTCTTGCGCTCCCACCGTCAGGATTTTGAGTGTGTTGTGCTCTCGGACGCTAACACCTACTTCATCGAGACTTGGCTGCGCAAGGCCGGATCAAGGCAACTCTTCTCCGAGATCTTCACCAATCCTGCCAGCTTCAACAAGGATGGACATCTGGTGCTTCTGCCCTACCATGCCCATGGGTGCACACGGTGCCCAGAGAACATGTGCAAGCAGGTGATCCTCAGGGACTACCTGGCAAGAAGGGCCAGAGAAAGAGGGAAGCCCTTCCAGAAGGTTTTCTACATTGGGGATGGGGCTAATGACATTTGCCCCACTCTAGCTCTGGGACAGAAGGACACAGCTTTTCCTAGGAGAGATTTCCCCATGCACCGGATCATCCAGGACATGCAGAGAGGTCAGCCTGGGATTTACAAACCCACGGTGGTGCCTTGGGCGCGGGGAGAAGATGTGGTAGACTGCCTCAAGAAAGCAGTGGAGGAGAGATGAGCGATGGAGTGGAGCACCAGGGAAGGACCAAGCAAGGTCCAAAACTTCAGAGCTGTTCACCTACACACAAGATTTACTAATAATGGACAGAACAAACTTATCTGAAGCATGGTTACATTATTTTTGGCATAATAATAAACAGGACCCAATAAGAGAACCAGTAAGATCTCATAAGAAGTATTAATAATAGTAGGGTTGATAAAATCCTTATGATATCTGTCCCTAGGTATGTGTACCACATGTCATTCGTCCCTTTTTGGCAGGTAGAGGGAAACTCTCTGGAGCCCTTGCTTCTTGTCACACACTTCCTCAGACATGCCTTCCCTGCAAGCCTTCCAGGGGGTTTTCTACATCTACCAACATTTGCCCCACTCAGACTCTAAAACAAACGGATATTACTTTTCCTAGTTCCCCCCTGCATGGCAATACTCCGATTATGCAGAGAGGGGAGCCTGGGATTTACAAGACCACTGTGGTGCCCTGGACACAGAGACGACTGCCTGAAGAAATCTGTGGAGGAGAGATGAGCAAAGAAGGAAAAGGGCAACAAGTTGGGAGTCTGACTTTGGGGCTCATGACAAAGACAGGAACGGGGCCCTCCGCAAGCACCCCATCAACTAATACACAAAATGCACTTATAACACATAAGCTAATTCGTTTTTTAGCCAGGGCAGAGTGGCAGAGAGTATTACTAGCATCTGGTGTCAGGTTGCATTGACAGTCCTGAATTTATTACTAACAGTAATTTTGGTATGCCATATTTTTTGGTCATCTGTACACGTCTAACTTGAGGGGACCTTTGATGGTGGCATCCTTTGCCTAGTTGTCCCCTAAAGAGCAGGGTGTGAAAGACTGAAAAAAGGAAAGAGCTTTGAAAGCTCAGATTACAGACACGCACGGACACCCAATACACAAGCCGGCCGGCAACTGAGACGAGGTTTGACTTACACGAGGACTGACAGACGGCAGACACGAGAACACCTCACTGGAATAAAGGGTGCTGGCATCAATTCAATGAAACAGCAAGTGTGTGGAGTGCCACTCCTGGGAGTCCATGCATGAGACCTACAGGAATAGTTTGTCGAAAGATCAACCCTTACCCCAAATGTAGTCGACCAGCCAAGATATGTTTGGCGTCTGAAGTTTGCTTCTTAGTTTTGGAGCTACAGGCTAATTAAGGCTTCCTTTACTTGTTAGCTAGACTTGCTTGTGTGATGTCTAACACTATATGACATGCTGTTATTTATACAAACGGACAAACGCACAGACAAAATTCAGGCCTTAACACTTAACATGTGTTGGCTGATGTTTGGGGTAAGGGGGAAATTTGAAACTGTTGCTTCAAACGAGAAGAAAGTCATGTTGCGTTATAAGTGTGTTATCTGTGGGGTAAAGCTGGAGCAACAATACATTGCAACCTTGCAACTGTGCTGTACTTGACACCCTCATATCAGAGAAGAACACTGGCACTTCACCAATGCTGCGTTTACACACTTCAAAAAGAAAGCTGGTCTGTAATGCTAATACTCAGGCTAGTCTTTCTTGAATGTCCTTTAAAATATAGGCTTATCCAGTAACTAGTATACATTAGTCAGTAACTACTATGTATTATTCAGTAATTACTATGAAACTAATCTGTAAGTTGTATAGTTATTAGTAGGAAGAACAGTGTGGACCCACATATAGACCCTTCGAGTTTAAGGGGTTGATACACCCATGGATACTCATCTCTAACACATGCAGTACTGGGTTAAAGTCAGAGACACTATTTATTTAATTTCCAGTCAAAATGGCCACTAACTCTCCTGAGTGGCATAACCGTCTTAAGTGTTAGCCTGTCATGAGGAGATCGCGAGTTCAGTCCCTGGTAATGCTACAGCCATACATGGCTGGGAGTCCAAGAGAGCACAATTAGCCTCGCTCTCTGGGTGGGTAGGATGCCCACCACCATCACTAAGTGTGAGGCTAGTCAGCGCAGGTGTCTGTTAGCTGACGTAACAGATCTGGTGGTTGGCGCTTTCCTCCGAGCGCGTTCGGCTGTCCGATGACGTTGTGCGAGCGGCAGTTCGAAAAGATGTAGTGGCGCTTTACAGGTCTCGGAGGAAGCCTGTGTTAGCCTTCACCCTCCTAGCGCTGGTGGTATCGTGTGATTGGGGGAGTCCTAACTAGCGGGTGGAATTGGAAACGACTAAATTGGAGAGAAAACTGGGGGGGGGTAATTACAAGCTAATTTTTCAGTGTCAGAAAAGGAAGCAGAAAATATTTAACAGAAAATTACTCAGAAGCATCAAGAAGTAATCATAAAAACATTTAAACATTTATTTTGTCCACGCTTTACCTTTCTTACAGTGTCTATTCTTTTCAGTAGACTTGCTTTCCGTTTTTCAGAGAAATCTGCAGGGATGAAAGCTTTAAGTGCTGTTTATCTGATGGGGGCAGTTTGGGTGATCTAGGTCTTCCAGGTGGTTGTTAGTAGTCCCATTTTCTCTGTAGCTTTTAATTATTTTTTGAAGTCCACTTTTGGAAACTCCTGTTTATTTTCACTCTCTGACATTTGCACAGTACTGTAAGCCTATATATAGAGGCCAGATTCTATTACTAACACTTGCTCACACACACACACACGCACACACACACACACAGCCACACACACACGCACACACACACACACAGCCACACACACAGCCTCTACTCCTGCCTTAAAAGACACAGTGACATTCTGACAGTCTGACTGCTGCTCAGACACTGATAACATGTACACTCACAGTGGCTAATCTTTCTACCTCGTACACACACACACACAGACACACACACACACACACAGACACACACACACACACACACACTCTGTAGTGGAGGAAATACTCAAGGAGAAATAATGAGATGCAATATTACCGTTGAAAGGTCTGGCTTTCGGGAAGAGATAAAGTACCAAAGCACAGTATAGGCCTGTCATCATTATTAGATGTTAGCTGACGAATAATTACCATATAAATTATTGTGATAAACTATTTAAATGTCTTTTTTTGTTCATTGTTTAAACTATTAAAGCACATCTCTAAAGTGACTAAATGAGCTGATTAGCTATTTTGCTACCTAGTTGGTGAAACTTGGTCGCACCAAACCAACAACAGAAACAACTCAAGTTTCTCATCGCTGTCCTCTAAAGGTGTTATTAACAAACATCAAATAAACGTTACTCACCGCCGCCCTCTAAAGGTGTTATTAACAAACATCAAATAAATGTTACTCACCGCCGCCCTCTAAAGGTGTTATTAACAAACATCAAATAAACGTTACTCACCGCTGCCCTCTAAAGGTGTTATTAACAAACATCAAATAAACAAATGTTACTCACTGCCGCCCTCTAAAGGTGTTATTAACAAACATCAAATAAACGTTACTCACCGCTGCCCTCTAAAGGTGTTATTAACAAACATCAAATAAATGTTACTCACCGCCGCCCTCTAAAGGTGTTATTAACAAACATCAAATAAACGTTACTCACCGCCGCCCTCTAAAGGTGTTATTAACAAACATCAAATAAATGTTACTCACCGCCGCCCTCTAAAGGTGTTATTAACAAACATCAAATAAACGTTACTCACCGCTGCCCTCTAAAGGTGTTATTAACAAACATCAAATAAACAAATGTTACTCACCGCCGCCCTCTAAAGGTGTTATTAACAAACATCAAATAAACGTTACTCACCGCTGCCCTCTAAAGGTGTTATTAACAAACATCAAATAAACAAACATTACTCACCGCTGCCCTCTAAAGGTGTTATTAACAAACATCAAATAAACAAACATTACTCACCGCCGCCCTCTAAAGGTGTTATTAACAAACATCAAATAAACAAACATTACTCACCGCCGCCCTCTAAAGGTGTTATTAACAAACATCAAATAAACAAACATTACTCACCGCCGCCCTCTAAAGGTGTTATTAACAAACATCAAATAAACAAACATTACTCACCGCCGCCCTCTAAAGGTGTTATTAACAAACATCAATTAAACAAATGTTACTCACTGCCGCCCTCTAAAGGTGTTATTAACAAACTATATACATTACCTCCAACTTACCCTACTGTATTTGATCAGCCAAGACATGTGGAGTCTAAAAAGGTTGGCTGTTTTAGTTTTGCAGTGTTGCTAAGAGACTAATGTAGTGAACAAATAAAAAAAAGAAAGTCCATTATAGTCCATTAATTAGCATGCTGTAAATCACCACCCCGATGTGCTATGATGTACTGTCATGTAAAAATAGACAAAAGTACAGACAAAATTCAGGCTTGGGGATGAATGCTATGACTGTTTATATACAACATACATTTATCCAGACTTGTCTTGGCTGATTGACTGCAGACACACACACACACAGACAGACACGCACACACACACTGTATCTGTGCTGTAGCACTGGCACTTTCTGCTGATAATGACTCGCAGTACTTGCAGTTCCTTTATCTGCAAGCCTTAGTGCTCTATCCACCTCCATCTGCTGGACCAGCTCCACCCAGCACCAAGCACACAAGCCAGCACACAACCCAGCCAAACACAGCCGAACTATACATATTCATATACATATTGTCTCTGCTGGGACAAATCTTTGTATCTACAAAATGATAACTTTACAGAGGAAGGAAAAACATTCTTAACTTTGAATGCAGGTTAATGGAACAAGACCTTCACCCATGTAATTTTGGACTGTCTGTTTGTTGTGCCATTTGAACACATTGTAAAGGGCAGCTGGCATTTTTAAATTTGTTAAAATGCAGACGTCCTGCCATCCACAGTATACATATACATACATACAAGCCTTGACTGGGTTACTCTCATTAATGCTCCTCACAAGCATATACCCTCAAGTAGGGGGGGGTGCAATTTGACGTTAATTTATCATTATCATGATAAATTATGACGCAGTACGTTTTTTTCTGAGAATATCGTGGCTACCATCAGTACTTAAAGTACACCAACTGCATGTTTCATTACAAAGTGAGCAGAATTAGGCCTGTTTAACTGGACTCAGTGCAGTGCAGCTTGTAAAACACTGAAGTCATTGTAAGTGTAAGTTTATTATTATCATTATAGTGTTTTTATGTGTGGTACAACAGGTTCTGTTTTGTCTGTTTTAACTTATTAACCCTCCTGTTATCTTCAGATTTACTAACATCTTCTCCTTGAAGTCAGTTTGACCCAAAGTGTGAACTATCAGTGGTTCTCGCACTACAAGTGTGGTTATGCTAGGTTAGGGATCTAAAGCAGTGGGAAGTGTTTTGACGACTGTAAAACTGCATGTTATAGTGACCTCAATATCACCCAAAACACCCAAAACAAGTGTGAGTAAATGTTGATTTTTCTCACGTTTTATACATTTTAAACAGTCTGGGGTCAAACTGACCCCAAAGAACACAGATGCATACAAAATGCATACAGGACAATGTAAATATATCATGTTATTTTAATTTATGTTTACCCAGTTTTCCCCATAGAATTAAGAAAAATCATTGAATATTAAGCAAGTAAATGATGTCAATCCTTTATCTGGAGATGGGTCTTTCCACAGAAACATCCACTTCTTTATCTGTCCATAGGAGTCACTGGTGTTACTGATCGTCATTGGTGTTACACGTAAGGAAGGAAACACCAGAGACATTTTTAATGAAAAATGCATTTTACAAAATGTCTGCTACAGAGCATCAAACCCATGTTTTCAGTTATGGAATATCCACTAAAATATGTAATTTAATCCATTTGTGTTCTGTTTTTTCACAGTTACCTAAGAACAAAGTAGGTCACATCAGTGACCCCAACTAAAAGCTTCATATGAAATCATGAGCTAAATGAGAAAATCTCTGATAACTGAAAGACACAGTGGACTCACCATGAGCTTTTCTTCATTGATCTTCAGAAACCAGGTAAAAGGAAGTCAAGTGATGTCATCAATGTGATTTTATTTCAAAATAAGAGTTTTTTGTCACACAGTAACACCAGTGACTCGACTCCTGGGGAACTTTCATTATATATTTTATAATATTTATTTGTTTTCTTTATGTTATTCAAATCATATATTTCATAGTCATTTATAGATTATTGCAGTTAAAATTGCAGAAAAAACATGTTTTTGACCTCAAAATATGGCCTCAGCCTTCACACACGACTGTGAGGACGAGCTCCTCTGTGGTGCTTGGAATTCTAGATAACTGATTTAAAAACCAATATTGCTAAATTGATGATTCTAGAAGGTGTAATTGTTAAAGTAACTTATTGTTTTATTTTAAAATATTAAAAAAATTGTGACCCTAACATGTTTTTCAAGTTTAATATATATGTAAAAGCTAGAGACACAAAAAAGGTTGTTTCCATAAAAAAATCTAACTCAGAAGTTAAACACCGATTGGGGTCAAATTGACCCCAAAGACAATAGAAAGGTTAAATCTCAGAAAAATGATATACAGTGATGCATATTGTGTATTGTAAAAATGCAGGGAAGTATCGTGATATAATTTTTTTTGCTGTATCGCCAACACCTACCGTGTAGCCAAAATCCACCTATTTTCCACTGTTTTTCAGCATAATTCACTCACTGAGAAGAAAACTAAGTAATGCTTAGTATTTTAAAGAACCGGGTTTATTCTAGGGACATTTACAGCCTTGGATATTTGATGTTCATGATACTTTCCTGGGGGAAATTGGGGGCATTGTAAGGAAAAAAAAATATTCAAAGAATATTTAGATAGAAACTAAAACAACCATATTGGTGGTCAGTACAAAACCTCATATCTCCAACATTAAAAAAAAAAAAAAAAACTTAATATACATTATTGCAAAAAAAAAAATTATTTATTTATTTTTATCATATCTGTTCATTCATCATGAAATGTTCACAGAAAATAAATCACATCTGGTATTTTCAAATTATGTCAAAATGTATTTATACACCTAATGTTTTCAAACATTAGGTTATAAAACTCATATATACAAGCTCAAGCAACTTGTAGCTTCATTAGTTGAGTGGATAACAAACAGAAAGGCTTTGACGTCATTG